GCGTCGTGATGGAGCTAGGGCATCTGAATTTTTTTTTATACCAAAATAACATTAAACTGTCTAAAGGTACAAATTCAAGTTCATGTGCAGAAGCTAAGGCCTCTTTTTGATTTGACTTATGTTTTAAAACTAGGTAGGTTGTTTGGATTGACATTTTTAGTAATTTCAGCTGATCCAGCTGAGTACTTATAAAAAATCATTCAGCTAATTTATTTGTATGTCCTAATCTGAGTCTTCACTGCTAACAGATCCCGCATTCATAACCAGTCTGCATAAAACTCACCACTACCTGCTTGAGACTTGCCATCTTCCTTGCGTTTCAATATAATTGCACTCATTAGTACCCTTCAGCTAGCCTTAATCTAGTGTCATAACCTTTTTTGCCACTGCCACATTTTCTGACCTCTCTTCTAATTTGTATCTCTTTTGTCACATCCAGAAATTTCTTGTTTATGTTTGCAGTGGAGTTTTGATTTATCTCGATTGAATTGTTAATTTAAATGAAACCATATTTTTGTTCATAAAACTGTTTAGTGTTTTGTCATGAGTAGACTGGGGCTTTTCTTGTTTCTAACTTAATGCTTTCCTGATTTTATGCTTCTAGTTTCCAAGTATTGAGGATTTTCAAAAAGAATTCAAAGATATCAATCAAGAGGAGCAAATTGCTAGGCTTCACAAAATGCTTGCCCCACACCTCCTTCGAAGTAGCTTCTGCAACATATCATTCACTCATGATTTTATTTGGTCCTACATGTGGAAAACATTTAATATTATTTCATTAAGTTATTAAATTATCATATTGCTTAAGCTGCTTTTTAATGTTTGTTATAGTGAACCATAATTTAGTCTCACTCTTTTGCTAATATCATGCTATTACTGTTTTCTTTCTTTTTTATTTTATATGCTTCTTGTGAAGCCATCTTTGGAGAGAGGCTAATATTTTTAGTACTCTTAAAAATTGAATAAGGAGTTGCTAATAGCTTTAAGCCTTGATTGAGAATGATAATTTTTTATGTTAGGTTTGTGTGTCTTGTTTCGTTATTTCCATCTCTATCAGTTTACACAGTTTTATGAATCGCTTATTTCCCGATATAAGCCCGGTCCTTCACAGATTCTTTTGGCATTGGAGGACTGTGGTCTGAAGGTCTAATGTTGGGAAAATTTAGAACGTAAGATGCTAAAATTTATCAAAACGAATGGGAAATATCCAGAACAATATTTGATCGAGCATGTATTTGAGAGCTTTTTCTTTTTGTGTTTCTAAAAAAAAAAAAACTGGAACTTCATATTGATCTGTGTTTCATTTTTTGATACTACGTTAAAGTTAGAATAATTAATTATAAAGAGGACTTGCAATTTTGTACTTGAATGAGGAACGCTTCAAATTTTGTTTACCTGTTGCCAATGCATTGGAAAATTTGGAGAGAATTCCTGATAGTTATAAATTTAAGGGAGTTTGAAAGAAAGCTCTAATGGAAAATTCATTGTGATTGAAATCTAATATTATATTTATTCCATTTAAGTATTTGTCACGGTGCATGACAACAGCTCTTAGTCAAACATGAGGTAGAGTAAATGCGGGTACGACTAAGTGATACCGAAGTTAACCCAAATCACGACTGAACGACATAATTTTATTTTTGGACACAAGAAAAGATACAATGATGCCTCCACAACATAAAACAATACAAACAAGTAAACAACAAGTAACAGTGAAGACATTGCAAAATAAGAAAGAAAACAACACAGAATGCAGAACGACTTGCTAAAGGAGAGCAACAGGCTTCGAAGGAAAGGGAGGACGCGGCGGCGGTGCTGGAAAGTGCCTGGCAGATGGTGAAGGCAGTGTTGGATGACGTAGAAGTGATAGAGGCCTGTTGTGAGGAGGTTGGCGACAAGTGGCGGTGGCGTAGAAGAAGTAGGAGAGACGGCGGTGGATTGGACAGAAGTCGGACATGAATACGGTGGGCTGGATAGCTGCAAGAAGGGTTGGAGGTGGATGGGTCAGTAGCAGGAATATGTGTCGGGTCTGGGCAGCGACAAGAACTAACCCAAAAGGGGCTTTCGACAGCAGGAACTGGCTCAGAAGGGGCTCGCACCAGCAAGAACTATCCCAGAAGGGGGCTATAGCAGCAGTAGGAACACAACTGACAGTCCAGTGGTTGTTGGAGGTGGCTAGAAGCTTGAACAACAACAAGACAAGGGGCCCGAAGGCCTGTGTAGTGTTGGAAGATGTTGGGAGGGCTGGACGACAGTGGAATACTGGAAGGTTGAGCGGCGGGGAGATGACACTGAGTAGGTTTAGGAGAATTTGGAAGGATAAATATCTCGGCGGGGTGGTGCTACAATTGGAGCACCACTCAGACCCTTTGAGATGGTCACCACTTTGGACGAGTTACAGCTGCAACACCTCCTCGCCGTCAGATATTGCCCTTGGAAGAGAGGAACGCCTAAAAGTCAACAAACTAAAATGTGGAATCATCAAAAACCAACCTTAAAGCACTCATGGAACACATATATAATAGTTGTTAGTAGTTAAGAAATGAAGGAATAATAATTGGAAATAAATAAACATAGGAAAAGTATAACAGGAAGCTAGGATAAAAAAGGGAGGTGGGCAAGGAAAGTGATAGGAAGGGAAAGGAAAAATAATGTTTGCGGTACTGTAGCAGCTACAGTACGGTGACTCAAGCTTGCGTCAATCTCCCGGGTTTGGGGAGCTTTGACTTTACCTGTCAAAGCTTCTAGTTCTTCACCAGGCCTCATAATAGCACGTGGATCCATTGTTGACTATTTTTTCCCCCAAAACACCTGATGAATATTCTCTACTTGTGAGCATACATCCACAATGGTCCAATCTTTTGGTAATCCACTACTGAGCGAAACTGAGTCGACGTGCCTTGCTTTTGTGGCTGAATACTCTCGAAGTAATCCATGATTGGCTTAACCCGATTTGAAGTCGGGGTAAGCTCAACCTTCCCACACAGTGGTGGCGCTGGTGTTAAGACATCGAACGTTGGTATTTTGAAATGTCGTCTGTCGTGCCTATATCGTGTCTCAATACATCATTCTCTATTGTTATTAAAACTGCTATCTCCGATGCTGCTCAGCTGGTAAGGGCTCGTTTGATCTTAGGCTTTGCCGAGGGAAGTAGTATTATGCGCTTCCATCCTTAGTGAAAGGATGGTTATTTCTGAATCTATCGTGCTAATTCTTTCGGTTAAATTTTCACGGTCTTCACAAGAAAAGATGACAAACATCTATGGGGATCACGTCGCATCACACTAGATCCTGTAGCTATCCCTTTATAGAAAATTTCATTAAGCACCTCCGGTCAATGTTAAACCTGTTCTCGTTATTCAGCTACACCAAAGAATATGGTTGGGTGTGCCTCTGGGTCATAAGTCTCAACTTTTCCACCATCTGTGTAGATGCCACATTCTTACTGCTTCCCCCGTCGATGATGAGACTGCATACATTTCCGTTCACTGTGCAGTGGGTGTAGAAGATATTATGGCGAAGCCAATGCGGGTCCTTTAAATCCTCGACCTATAAGATTCGTCAAACCACATGTGCTTCTCTTTCATATGGATGCAGATGTTACACCTCATCTTGTTATTCAACCTTCTTCTCATCGCTAACATCCTCTATGTCGCCCTGCTCAGTAAAAGACATGACTCGACTCGGCGGGCAGCTGGAGACAAGGTGCTTAAATCTGTGGCATTTGAAATATTTCTGGCATGGATTGTAGCTGGCATGCTACCCTTCTTAGATTTCTTCTCATTAGGGTTGGCTATATCCTTTTTTGAAAGAGCGTTCTCAACTTCTTCAGGCGTGCTTCTGCTAGTGTCTCCAACTGTGAGCTGTTGCCTGCTCTATTTCTGCTGCCTCTCTACTTTCAATGCTAAAGTCTGGACATCTCTAAGTAATGAATAAGGCTGCAGGTACATCATATTGCTAATAGTGTGCTTAAGGCCCCCCAGATAACTGGCTATAGTATGCTTCTCTGGTTTGACCAAATCGTACCTCATCCGCAACTAATTCGTGCCTCTGCTGCAAGTGATGAAGCCTTATAAATATATCCTGGCGGTAATGGGTGGGAGGTATTTCCTCAACATCTCCTTCTTCATTTTCTCCCACTTGGTATTCTTATCGCTACCTTTTCGTTTCCTTTGTCTCTGGAAGTTCTCCCACCACAATGAGATGCTCTTTTTCAATTTGATGTCGACCAATTTTACCCTCTTATCCTCTGACACATTTTTATATTCAAAGATTTGCTCCACTGATTGTAGCCAGTTGAGAAAATCATCCGGATCCATGCTCCCTCAATTTATGGCAGATCCACTTTGATGTCGAAGTTCTTGTGATTTCCATATGTGGGCTGATGTAGGGTTCTGAAGTCCTGCAAGTCCCTTTGATCCTTCGACACCTCTCTCGACCTCCGTTGATAATGAATCCCGAAGCGGCGTGACCGATATTCCTCGTCGTTGATGTCTTCTCTGTGTAACAGATTCATATCCTCCTCCTCCTTTTCAACTCTCCCGATCTCGGTTCAGGGTGATCTCTCTCTGGGTCCCGTCATCCCAATTGGCCAATCTTTGTTGCAGACGATGTATTGCCCGCTGTAACTCGTCTCAGGTAGGTTCTAGGATGTATCTTGATTGTGACATGATTAGGGTTTGGGTTTGGGAGGTGGGTTGAAGGTGGGAAAGCCATGAAAGAGGGAAGAAAGGAAAAGAAGAGAAAATTTTTTATTTTTTATTTTTTGTGAAGGTTGTTTCGGTGGGGCGTGGGCTAGAGAAACCTAGAATGGAATAGGGTTGGGCTAGCTATGATACCAGATGAGGAGTTAACCTGAACCACAACCAAACTATACAGTTTTATTGTTGGATTCAAGAAAAGATACATTGATCTCTCCACAACCTAAAAAACACAAAAAAGTAAACAAGTACCGACGACGACACTGCAAAATAAAAAAGAAATCAACACAAAACATTGAACGATTCAATAGTGACCAACATGCTTAGAAGGGAAGGAAGGATGCGCGACAATGGTGCTGGAAGGTGGCTGGCAGAGGGTGACTGTGGCGTTGGATGATGTAGAAGTAATACCGACTTCTTGGGAGGTGGTTGGCGGCAAGTGACAGCGGCGTAGGAGAGGTTGCAGCGGACTGGACAACAGTCGGACGAGTTAATGGTGCTGTGAAAAATGACGACAATAAGACAAAAAATCGGATCGAGAAAAATAACAAAACAGAAACACAAATTTATGTGGTTTGACAAATTTCTTACGTTGCAGAGAATTTTATTAGCTTGAGAATTTACACGACGTCGATTGCCTAGACGTTTACAAGAAAAACTGCCCTCTCTCTTCCTCTCTCTCTCCTCTCTCTTACTACTCGTGAGATTCAACCCAAAGAAAAAAAGAAATTTGGGGGAAAACAATGCCTCGTATTGCCTTCTTCTTCCCGGTAGCCTCACACGTGAAGAATAATCCAAGCAGGGAATCTCCTTTCCCGTGAGTGAACCCAGGAGAGCTATTTCTCCCATTCACTCAGCTGAAAAACCATGTATGGAGTTCGACTGACAGAGAGATCACCCTCCAATTTCGTTCTTCTACAGACCTTTTTATAGATGGCGGGACCCTCCCCTCCTTATTCGCAGAAGAAAAAGCAAGCTGCGAGAGTTTGAGGAGAGAAGCGGGA